AAACAACCCACTATACATCAATTTATTTTCCAAAAATCCATATCACACCTTCCAGTTCAATGGTATTTGGCAGGGTTTGCAAGGGTCCTTTTCTTTGTCATTCCAAAAGCCTCCCTTTTCTTCCTTCAAGCTTTCTACTTGAATTATGTTCCTGCACAAAAACTCATGACCTCACCTCTGATATACATATTCAGTGGGCGTCTTGATACCATAGACCCAAAAATATCTAAGTCCAACTCACTTTGGCCCTGTTGGACTTAGATAAGTTTGTCATAGACTGAGCTATCTTTTGGTTTTATTTTGATTCTGATCAGATTCTGATTAGAGACCTGTGAATCCCTTCAATCTGCATGTGACAGGCGCAAGCCGTGGTTCAATGCAGAGTGGTGTGCTTGAACCCTCTGTGCACCCTGCACATTTGTGAGGTTGACATAGGGGGGCTACACAGGCCTATAGCACAAAACCTCAGACAGGCCCAGGCTTCCAAGAGTGAGAGTTTATAGTGTGCAGCTAAGCTGGGAGCACATCTGTTTTCCAAGAAGTATGTCAATGTACCTTTTCCCCTGTTGGGAGCATAACCAGATGCCACTAGGTGCATTGGGCACATTTTTTCTCCAAAATCTTAGAAACACCTTTTATCTTTTTAATATGTTGGAGGCTGTTCCAACCTTAAACCAAACATAGAAATGCTGTTGTCTTTGTAGAAATCCTTTTCCAAATGACTGCCAGAGGCCATGTCAGCCCTGAGTACTAAACCAGTGTACCAATGGGCGACAAATATATTAAAAAAACCTTAAAAACAGCGATTACAACTCAAGGCTCAGTTTCAAGAGTCAAGTTACATATGATTTGGCATATGTAACATGTGCAAAACTTACATCAAAGAGTGTGTACGTACACAACTTTGATGTGAATCAAAGCGACATATATTTCACAGGCGTAACACATACGTAACAAGTGAAATATACTTATAACCCAATAGTAACTGTGTTACTGTAATTAACCTAACCTTAGAACCACAATTTGTGCGCACTTGTAGTCCAAAGATTCCCAGGGTTCAGAATATATAAACCCTGAAGATCCCACCAGTTTTGAATCATCACTTCAATCTTCAACAGCTTCAAAAATTGCTCATTTCATCTTCCTAGAACTTTTAAACTTTGTCTAACATCTACAAACTTTAAAAGCTTGATTCTACAAACCTTGAATCTTCAACCTTGTGTCTTGTTGACCTTATTGTGTGCGCATCCAAACCTTGTTTCTATCTGATTAGACCCCATAATCAGCTATTTTTGTAATATCCATTTGGTGGATTATGTGTAAGGAAGTAGTCCTTGAGTAAAGCTTATATCAGATCAGGGATTCATCTGATATAAGAAACTCTAAATCTACGGGGAACCTCTATTAGTCAGAGTTTAAAGTTCCTGGTGTCAAGACAGAATTGTTGCAAATAAGAACAGTCAACCAAAATCCCTGGGAGTGAAATCCTTTGTTACAAGGTCATCTAACTGGAGTCTTTACTTGTTTATTGCAAGTAAACTCCTACACCCACGTCTTTACCCGCTCAAACTTGTGGATAGTAATCCCTGTGAGGGTAGGGTATTCTTTAGAGTACTCTAGGCTCACTATGGGAAGGTAAGGTGGGTTCTTTTTATTTAAAATAGTTGTATTTCAAATGTAATTTTGTAAATACAATTAGAAATAAAAGTGAAAGGAAGAAAGGAAATGAGACTGACAGTCTGTTTGGATAAATCCAGACAGACTACAGTTAAATGACTCCTTAGAAGGAGGTTTGAAATACAATAATAGAAGGCTGGATCCAAGGCCCTCCCTTAATCTTCAAGGTAACAGATTAAAGAGTGATATGTAGGTCACTAGCCTGGTTATTTATAGTCACCAACTGGTAGTTATTCAGAAGGTCACTAACCTGTGAGTTGTTGTAGGTCACTAACCTGCAGTTGTTCAAAAGGTCACTAACCTGAGAGTTGATAAAGGTTACTAACCTGCAGTTGTTCAAAAGGTGACTAACCTGGAGTTCTTTGAGAGGTTACTAACCTGAAAAAGTTCTACTTGGGGAAAGTAGAGGATCCAAAGGATGAAGAAGGAAATTACTTTATCTTTTAGGCAGGAATCTGCTTTAAAGTGATGAAGTGAATCACTAGTCTTATATTTATAAGACTTTTGATTATGTACTTCAAAGGAACTTTAAAGGGTTCTTTAAAAGATATGTGTAATAAAATGCTTGAGGAAAAATCCCTTGAAGGTTGGGAGAGGAGGGGTTTATATATCCTCCTCTCCAAACCTAGTTGTAGTGATATTTGATTGTATCATCACTGTGGTTTAGGGTTTAATAGTTACTATTAATTATTATTATTATTAATATTACATAATTACATATACTTGTTATGTAATTTATGTAGTATAAGCATTTTAACTCTTGACACTGAGTTATGAGGTGTAATTGGTATTTTATTACATGTTACATATGTTTTCAAGTGTATATACATATGTAATTGACATTTGTATATGTTTTATTATATGTTACATGTGTTCTATAAGCTGTATGTACATGTAATTAGGTTTATAAGTAAGAGTCCAGTATTATAAGTTAGTTTTGGGTACATGTATATGTACCCAGGGCTGACAATCCCCACAAGTCTGAAGTTTGTTTAAACATCTGTTCTTCCTTCTTATTGATTCTACTAGCCTGACCGACGCTAGTAGGCTCACAGGCCAAATGATCCTCTGAGCATCATTTAATTCCTCCACCTTGTCTGGACACAAAACTTGATTGATTGTTTTTCAACATCTTCAATTTGAATCACTGCAACTTTTGAATTCAATGGGCTGGCCTGTGATAAGATTTTAATGTTCAACCATCCATGACATTGTCACAATAAGTGCATCTTGCCTTGCATCTTCCAGCTGAGTGGTCACACTCTTTGGCCATGAGAAAGCCAATGAGTAAGCTCTGCAGGAAATGGATGGCAGAGTCCATTCCTCTTTAAATGAATGTTGTCTTAGGATATGTACTTTATCTTGGGCATGTTCAATCACCTCTCAGCAAGAGTTTGTACAACCACAACAAAGCAATCAGCCAAACCCACCATAGTAGTTTTGGGTGTGCCTACCTACCTACAGCACTTTTGGGTGCTTTTTGGGAGCGTCTGAAAAAACACACCCTCAGCCTGAGTATGTGGAGGCAAGTCCTTGTCAATTTGACATCCAGACCCTAAATTAACCCCAGACCTCAAAACTCAACATACCAACCAGCTGACTGAAGTTCTGGAATGCTCTTCTTGAGAGCATCTCAGGCATAGCTTTTTAAGCAATTTTCTAGAAAATGAACAATTGATATGAAGGCATCAACATTTTCACATTTTTATTGAAGATCCAGAATGCTCTCATCCAGAGCATTCCCTGAGGCTGCATACATTTTTTGCCAGAACAGGCGATGTTAGTATCATCCAATTGACTTGTATCTACATGGATTGTTGACTTTTTAAATTGAAGAGATGCACAACATGTACCAAGTCCTCATGAAGTTGGGAGAACAAATTAAACACATCCCACATCCACCATCCTCTAGCAACACCATCTGTCAAACAACAACTCTTGTGATACTTCAAACAGCCAGCACATGTCCTTTTCCCCACAGGGGTTTTTAAGCTTGAGTTGAATGTCCACCAAAAAATCTTAATGAAGAATTCAAAAACCAATCAACTCAACCCAATGGTGCCAAATGAGAAGTTCATGGCACCTTCACGCTGACCTTTTCCCCACAGGGGTTTTTACTGGGGCAGAGCACAAGTAGTTTAGTGCCTGATAGCCTTTGGCTCAGGAGGCACTTAAAGCAATGCATTAAAAAAAGGCACAAGTTACAACATGTAAAGGGTTTCCATAGTAGCAGAGTGTGTGTGAGCTACACAAAATGTGTGACAGGAGGCTAGAACCGCAAAGAAGTTTGGAATTCTGAGGTGAAGAAACTATGCCCTCAGAACCCTAACTTAAGTTCTGGCACTTGGAAGAACACCATCAGATCTTGATCACTAGCTGTCAAAAGTGTTCAAACTTTTTGCTTTCTTTCACCCACCTAACTCCCTAGGCTAGGACCGGACTCTTTGGTGTCCTTAGGTTCTATTGGGCTTATCATGGGCAGAGCACTACTGGGGGAATGAGCTGTCTGCGCTATATCCAAGACACCCCTGGATAGAGCCAGACACATAACCCCCCCCCAATTTAACTAACCCCCCCTAGCATGTACCTTATGTTAAGTTGTAGGAGCTGTTAGAGTATCACCGCCAATAAACTTATCTCACCACCAATGACCCTGGCAATGTGATCTCCTCCTTAGCTTGAGTGGCCCCCGCCCAAGGGATTTATCAAAGTTAGTGCAAAATAATCTGAAATAATATAACCATGTGACATACAAGCTACACCCGGCGCAGCGCTTGGTTTTTCGACCCTGTGGATGGTGAGTTGGCTCAAATGCTGACATTCAGCAGCTGGGGCGGTGTTGCTTCAATAAATGGAGAAAGAGAGGAGAAAAAATATGACTAACATTTCTTATTACTCGTAGCAAAAAGATGAGATTTGTCTCATTAGCTTAATTTTAAACATATCGAATGAATCAATTTCGAATGTTTGCGATCACGATCAATTGTTCGTAGGTTGCAAACAGACCACTCGCATATACTCGCAACAACACTTGGACCAAACTCTTGAGTTTTTTCTTTTGACAATTTCTCAAAAATATAAAAAAGAATAAAATACTGGCAGCGTATCGGACTCGACATATTCGATCTCAGCATAGAAATTCTTCAAATCAATATTTCTCAAATTTATATCTTCTTTACACTCAAATTCAACTTCAGACCCTGAACTCAAACTGCGCGCAAGGGATTGGTTATCTCCAATTGAAATCAGCATCTTGATCATAAGTTTATGAAACTGTTTGTAATTTCAATCAAGATTTCTTTCGTGTTTCTCATTCAACTACCATGAACGGCTTTGAGCCGATTGGACTCCAACCTGTCTTTTTCGTACGCAGTCGAGTGGCGTCCTGAAGAGACAGAAGATTCCACTTGGATCCTATATTTCTCGGAACCTTCTTGTGTGTCTTGAGTGAGTCAGCTCTGTAGAATAGGTCTTTAGCGAGCTAGAGTAACTCAATTGGGTTGACCTAGATTGAATTCTACATAGCTCAACTTTTTATTATCACCTTCCAAGGATACACCTAACCAGTTCTCTATATAACTGTGAACTGGCCATCTTGATCCGATTCGCACGATATACCAGCTATTGAATTCGATTTCGAGGATCATGAAGCAATTTAATCTAGAGAAGTCATCCGGATGTGCAGCCCTCAGAGTCACAATCCTTGGGTTATTATGTTTTGCACGTGAGTCCTTGAACATTTCCAACCAATCGAGATCTAGTACCTAACACTAATCACAAAACCCTTTGATTGTTAAAGAAATCCAACAAATCACCTGCGTTCAACTTGGACGTTTCGCCCTCACAAAACGTATGGCAGAACTTCCAAGACTCGCAGAAGAACAAGTAAAAGCTTTGAAAACCCGTCCACAACCCACACCAGAAGAAGTAGAGAAAGCATGGAACCATCCATTGATAACAGAAAATGTACTTTTCAAAGATGAAAAATCACAACAGATTATAAACCACGTTAAGACATCTCCATACGCCATGTATTTTGATTTTATCGGAGACATTACAAGCCTTGAAGCCTCCAAAGGTGAACATGGCCAAAAAACTTCAACAAGTATGGAATATGTATTGCAAGCAGAATTGAAAAGAAAATCAGCAAGTGAAACTCTTGGAAACATTTCATTGCTTAAATTATTAGAAGAGTTCAAAGAATCACCAAAGAGTGAATTGGAAGTAGTCGGTAATATCTTTGCGCGTGTAAGGGATGACCATGCAAAGGCCATGAAGATTGCAACTAAATATTCAGAAGCCGTAGAAGCAGGGAAATATGCAATGATTCTAGATAATGAAGCTGATGATCTACTGTACCTTTGGGCCAACTTTGCAGATGGATTGATTCCAAAAGTGATCATCACTTATGGTGGCTTTGTTGAACTCAGGTTCCAAGCTGTCAAACAATTTGTTGCCGCTTTATGTAAACATTATGAAGTTGAAGACGACCAGATGCCAAAGGTTTATAAAGGTTTCGCTCATCCATATGCAGCTGGACAAAAGCGTCATTCATATGATCTAGAAGAGGGCATCGGTCATATCGATGAAGAACTACGTACACAATATATCGAAAAATCTCAAGCACTTGAAAAAGAGTTGAAGGACGCAGATGGTAACTGGCATGCAGGGGCTTGGGATCATGATGAGTTCAAAGATGGTTTGGAAGCATTGAAGACGCTCATCGACAATTCTGAATATACTGCGATTGCTGTACTCACTTGCCCGGCAACTGTCGCTCACCTGATCAGCAAAGATGAAAAGTTAGCCAAGAAGATCGGAGTGACAATGTCAAGTCCATGGTCCTGGTCCTGGAACAAAGAGGGTGTGAGGTATCGCCCTGCCTTCAATGGAGGACGTCAAATCCCAGTGATGAATCAGCTATTGAATTCTGAAGTAGATTTCATAGGTGTAGGAGGAGGAACAGCTAGAACTAAAGGAATGAGAACAATTCATGATGCTAAACATGGTTCAGGAGCAGCCGAAGATAAAGATAAATATTATGCAGAAAAGGGTTTGGAAAACTTAGAAAAGGTTTTATCAACTGACTCTGAAGTTGAATTTCTTCGGATCATTGCTCTTGCTGGTCAAAATATCACGCGTCCAACATGGAGATGGTGGGATAAATCAATGTCAAAACTTTTCAAGTTTCTCGGGATTAAACCAATAGATCGTCCAAATCTGGAATCAATGAGAGAAGTTCCAGAAGGCTATGAGGATTTAAAAGGAAAAGCTGTAAGAACAGAACCAAAAAAGCCCAAACTTCCAGGAGCACTTGATTGGGGTCTAGATGGATTCTTATCGTGGTCAAAGATTTGGTTAATTTGGTTGAATCCTATACAATGGCAAGCTCCTTCAGCTGACCTACACGCATTGATCACCACAACACCCGCCTATCTACAAGCAATCTCAGGAGTAGCTCGGTATGCAGCAGGGAGCGCAGATGAAGGCAGACTCGTCAGATTTGTTAAACCTGAGGGGAAAGCTGCTACAAATGAAAAGGGTGTATTTTACTCCGTGACTGATATGAATTTCCAGGTTGTCATCGATAAACTGCAAGGAATGTTGAATGGTATCAAACAGCATCGAACCGGGAGAAAGTAAATCAATCACCTAAAAAAACTAACTTCCACTTAAATTAACTGACATCCAACCAGGCTTGAGGATACCCTTTTCGAATCCAAAAAAGCCAAATGGGTGGACCATTCAAAGATCTCTGGATTTTTTCTTGATTTTTTTTCACTTGCGTCCCTATACTTTTGAAAGGCTATTCGCTCATTATACAGTTGTCTCGTAGCTTTGAGGTTGTTCACGATGACAGCAGGATTCTCGTTGGCCTTGATGAAGGATCCTGATCTTTGTCTGAACTCGATCGCATCCTTTATGATTCCATATAGATATAGGTGCATATATGTATTGTTTAGAAACATTTGTACCTACTTCTTTGGATTGGCATGCAATGTTTACACTTGGTCATACGTACTACATGCAGGGATATCCATCAAAGATCAGTCTAATTAGTAGAATGTGAAAGCCAAGGTAAGATATCTCCCCATATCACGTCAACTTTCAAACATCATTCTTTTCGCCCTAAGCCGTTCTGCGTCTTGACATCGCTCGTCGCAATGATGAAGGTCTCCACCTACTTTTGAATAGCTTCCGCTTTATCAAGTTTTGGTTTTGATCAATCCAGACATCATATCAAAACTATTACTATTCGGTTGTAAATCAATCACTTCTCCATCTTCGACCCATTCACCCTCGAAATTCATCACGACTTTCTTTGTTCTTAATAATCCATGGTTAAGTGTAATCCCATGAATCTTGACCATTTCGTCAGTGTCTTCTAATCTTACAATTTGATTCCTGTATCACAAGAACCCAAAATTAATCAGCATGAAACTTTTGATCAGATGACAATCAACCGTTCTTACGAATGCAGCCAAGTCGATAGATATCTTTTCTCAAACGGTTTAAACCCTTTGATAAGAAATTCTTTCATCATTCTATCAAACGTGCTCAAGATACCAGCAATCAAATCCTCATGTGACAACCTTTTCAATTGAGCATTTGGATTTACTTCATTATACTTATCAATCACTTCATCTAATGATGTCGAAGGTTGAGAATTCGAGTTATTGATCCCGCAACCTGGAACAGTTGTGAACATCAAAAAGGAAAGGATCAAGTCTCAGAAGTCTATTGTGATGTCTTTAAAAGAGAAACGGATCAAAACACACCAATGACCATAACACATTCGTGTAAGTTGAAAGATCCATTTACAAGTATCCCACCCAACTTCTTATAATGTCTTAAATTCTCTGAAGGATCAGACTGACTCGGACTTTTAAGTGATCCATACAAATCGTTTGGCCATTTCAACCTGATTGGTAAAGCTTCATAACCTGGTCTATTTAGAACAGATTCAATAACTGCTAAACCAAATAAGTATTGCAAAAAGATCACCCCAGATCCTTGGTTCTTGTCGATCTTAAGTAATAATGAAAACTGAGCACAACCAGCTGATGAGATCCAAAAATTCTTTCCTCGACCACGACCTGAAGTTTGATGTTTAGCAATGAAAACCAATCCATTCGGTAAAACACTTGTAAGTTTCGAATTCCTGTTTTCTACAAGTAAATCAGTAAAGAGTTCTTTGAGTGATTGGTTTTAAAGTAAACCAAAGCAAACCTAGAATTCTTGAACGATGAATTTCAAGTGATCGAAACCCACTTTTCTAATAAAGATTGAGTGCTAGTCACCGACTCGGCATACAAAACCACACTCCCAAAGGTACAATCAGATGGATTCTCATTAACCAAATTGTATCGCCTCCATGCCTCGAAATACGCATTCCATTCGAAAGATGTAGCCAATTTAGGTCGGTACGAAATATCTGAAATGATGACTAATTGGAAGTGATCTTTCTCATCACTTGTTGGCGGGAGCTGAGTTATTTGATTTTCATCATTATGGAGGCTAAAGTCATCTTGAGTGTCCGATATCCATTCTTCAGGTCCAATCATGGCCTTGAACTGGGTTTTGATTGTATTTAGTTTGTGCGGATAAAGTGAGAGGAGTAATTGAGGAGTTGGTAAGATTGAGCTTTCGAGTTGATCCGAAACATTAAGATTCATCATTAATAAGAGTTGTTTGAGCCACTCTACATTTTGATGAGAGATAGAGCTGTTTTTTGAGTTTAAATCTAGTTCATATCCCATCAGAATTGCTTGACCTTTTCCGGCCGAGCATCTGAGTGCTGCGATCGAAGCTTCTGGTCGATTTGCATAGCTCGCAAGTGATATCGCATCGGTAGGCAGCAAGTTTGAAGAGGATGGATCCGAAAAAGTACACTTGCCAAGAACTTGAATCGAATCGAGTGATGAAGTCCAATAGCCCTTCCAAGATTCCCGTTGAATCATGATCTTCGTATTTCGATCGATATCTTCGTCACCAGATCCGCCGGCTTTCGATTCCAAAGGCATACAATACCCAGGATAAAGTGACATCCATTGTTGAGAGTCTAGTTTGATCTTAGGACTACAAGCCAATTGAGCCCCGTTTCCAATTCCAAGATATATACCGCCACCATCAAAGACCCATTGACGAATTCGATCTATCCCAGATGGTCCTAAACCTTTTGCGATCTCTGAATGTTCTCCATCTGGCATAACAAATAATGAACTTGAATCTGTCCAAGGCTGTTCGATAACCATCTGAGCTGGTGCTAGCATCACATCATAACCGTTTGATAATAGTCGTTTGAGACTCTTGCGAGTGAGTGCCACGGCAGCAGACGAGGTACCGGGTCCTGAGTATACCAAAACGTTCATGGTGAGTGAATTCAAACGAGTGACGGTCTCAAATCTTCAGAGATGCATGCTTTGGAGTCTTTAGAGTTCGGATAGCGCCGGGTGTTTGCCTCGAGCAGTGCCTTGAGGGGAATATCGATTCGAATAATTTGTTTACCTTCTAGTCCGTGTTCATGACACTTGATTGTGATTGAATCGTCGCTTTTGAAGGTTGCAACACGACTGCGTAACGCAGCAGATCAATCCGTATCTAAAATATAAATACGTCGAATCGACCCGCATAAGTACCGTACAATCCTCTTCTGTTCTGGTCCACCTCGCATCAGGTTGGTTTTGGTGCTTTTCAAGTTTGATTTGTGCTTTTCAAGTTGGGTTCGTGATTGTCTGTCCACTTTTCAATCGCCGATTCTATCGCGGCTTTTCATTTGTTATTGTTCTTCTTTCTTTCAATTTCTATTGTTCTTCTTTTTTTGTTTTTGCAATTTCTTGAAAAGGTAAGCTATTTACTCTTAATCTGCCTTGTTCCGAATCATCGTCTTGTCTGAGGCTCCGAGCAACCTGCTATCTTCAATGGTTGCCTGTAAAAAGTCATTTTCAAAGTTGTGTTCTTCTCAGCATTTGAAAGCATCACTTTAAAAGTTGCGTCTTTGCCAAGCCTCACATTTATTTCTTAGACCTATAAAGAGGTAAGTTATGCTACTCAATTTAATCAATATCAGTTTTCCCATCACATTTTTGTATAATGAAGAAACTTCTATAATGCAACCATCCACCTAACCCAACAAGCCATCATAGTGGACAATTGTGACCAGAGCTATGTAAGTGGGTGGTGGAAAGTCCTTCTTTTTGCAAATTTCAATCTCTGTAGGTAAATTAAGAAACAGTCAAGCTGTGGCGGGCATGCCCGCATGTTCTCTAGTGGCCCAAAAGCATCGAACCCCATCGTGATGGCGTTCGGTACAAAACCTTACAAAACTTTGCAAGGTCAGTGGGCAATCATGGATGGCCAGTCCTACTGGATGTAAGAAATAAAAACACGAGAACGGGAAACCAGGTCATGGATCTGATTTCTTAGAATCAAGTACGAAATATGTAAAGGAGGCTAGGTCACACATGGGGTTATTTCTCACCTTACACGACAGGTCCCTCTCACTTTCTCTCAATCCTTCTTCAGGCTCAATTTTATGAATGATGATGTCAAATTGCTTCATTACAAATCACAAATCAGAAAGAAACAAGTAGAGAAAAAAGACAAACGAAGAAAGAGAAAAACGAGAAAAGAGGAAACATCAGGCCAGATAAATAATACGAAATTATATAAAACTTTTTATTCTAAACTTTTCAAAAAAGATTTCTATTATCCAATTCTTCTGTCGAGTAATCAACAAAAAGAATTTTCACAGTCGAAATCAAGATTCAAAAGAGATTTTTCAATATTAAAACTGAGATCGGTTGTAAAATAATCATTTTCTTCTAGAGAAGATTTCACAATCTCAAAACTGATATCTGAATGATAGTAAGAGTTTTGATAATTGTTATTGATTAAACTAAACGGATCTTTGAGTTCTTCTACAGGTGTTGGTAGAGAATGAGTATTTTCAGCGCTCGAATAAGATGAACGGTTATTCGAAGAGGGTGTAGATGGGAGAGAATAAGTCTCATCAATAGTAGAAGACTCGATAGATCTTTCATGAGAGAAAGGAAGAGTGATGGTGAAAGATTCATCGACTTCTTGTCGATCTTCATCCGTCATCAAATTATCTAAGATTTCAGACCAGTGAAGTTGTCTTTTAGTATCTTTGAGATTCTTTGAGCTAGGTTTTGAAGGTTTTGAATTCGAAAAAGTGGACGTGCTGAGAGATGATGGGGATGTGGTAATAGCCAGTGGAGAAGTTGAAGATTTCAAAGTCTCTAGAATCTGATGTTCAAGGACCAGCTCATTGAAGATATCAAAATTAGAAGACTCTACTGAAGTGAGAGGTATGAACTCTAAAGATTCCATTTTATCACTTTCTTGTCGTAACTCTTCTTCCGCTTCTTCCCAATCAGATGCCGTCATTAAATTGTCTAAGATTTCAGTCCAATGAAGTGTTGGGTTGGGTTTCTTTGAAATTGGTGACTGAGTGGTGAAAACTGGTGAGTTATGAGTGATTGAGGGTAGTTTGGAATTCGAAAGTGATGAGGTTGAATTTGTAGATACTTGATGTTCAGCAAGTAACTCGTTGAAGATATGAAAGTTTTCAGATTCATCTTCAGTGAGCGGGATAAAAGAAAGGGTTTGGTTGAGTGAAGTTGTATTAACTAATGGTTTGCTTTCTTTCTTTAACTCTTCTTCTGCTTCTTCCCAGTCAGCCGCTGTCATTAGATCATCTAAGATTTCAGTCCAATGAGGTGTTGATTTTGATTTCTTTGAAACTGGTGCAGGTGTGGCGAAAAGTTGTGATTTTGAATGTGATCTTTTTGTTGCTCGAGATGAGTTTGGAATGATTGAGGAAGACTTGGAGGTAGGAAGTGTAGGGGTTGAGATTGTTGAAAGGTTGTGTTCGGCGAGTAAGTCATTGAAAATGTGAAAGTTTTCGGATTGATCCTCAGTGAGTGGGATGAAGGAAGTTGTTGGGTTGATTAAATTTGATTCAGATTGAACTCTGTGGACCAAAGCTGTATCCAAAGTGCAATCTTCATCCGAGATCAAGATTTTTGGAAGTCTTTGTCGACGAACAGGACGCTTCCTTTGAGTAGGTAGCGGAACGCAAGGGGAAGATTCGATTGACTTTTCTTCTGAGACTTCAGACTATCAAATACCAAAAATGTCAGCAAAAAAGAAACAAGTGGAAAACCAGGAAATATAAAAGTTGACAAACCTGATGGGTTGAAGTCGAATCCCATGTGATCAGTTTTGGACTTTTGCAAAGGCTGATGAGGAGCAATTCATAGGCATTCTGTTATGAGAAACAATGAAGAGAATTAGCTGATTGGTCTTTGATCGGATGAAGAAACAAAAGAAAAGCTTACCTGCTGTGAGTTGTCCGATGATGCACATGAGACTGTGGCGCTGTGAAGTGCTACAGCTCTCTTCATGACAAACCAAGGATCAAGTCCAAATCGTGCAGGCAAGTTAAGGCCAAGTGATAAGTAAGACATGTTGATTATAGGAAGGTGAGTAACTATGAGATGCGTTGAAGAGATTGAAGGATGAAGATCGAGAAAGATCAATATTTCTGAGATTGGATTGGATGATAGAAGATAGAGTGATGTGATGATGCAGTTGTGGAAGGTTTAAAAAGATTCTGATGATGGAGATGCTAAGTGTCGAGTGAGAAGTGATTGGGAAAATGTATCAAAAGATGTGAATG